GCATTCCTGGACATCGCTGCATTCTCTGTTCTTTACTTGTTCTCCCACATGAATCAATGAAGTGCAGTATGTTTTGGCTAAAATACTTGAATGTTTGGGAAATTATCTTCTAACAAGGATTCCTAAACATACAGTGACTCAAAATCTTAATATTATAGCAATTCCGGAGTGGCACTTAGTTCTAATTTCCTAAACTTTTTGCACTTAAGTAAATTTATTTTCTAATTCATCATTAAAATTGTCTAGGACAGGATCAAAAGCATGTTTTTATGCCAAATAGGTCTGAATTGAATCTGGAATATTAAACTTACTGACTGTTACTTTAAGCAAGCTATGTTTCCACTCTAAGCTTCAGTTTACCACCTCTTCAATTGAGTAAAATAGTAATTACTACTTCCAAGTTACAAAACTTTTGATCAAAAGTATTATGTCTCATTAGTTATCATATCCCTATGATATAACTTATCGCACAATATAGACACTCAGGTATTTCTGGAAAGAATGAATGAAATTAGGGAGATCATATCAGTTCTCTGATCAGAATCTAAGGGTCTGTATTCAGTGTTTATTTCCTTGTTTTGCTGCTGTATGTATCACTTGTGAGTAAGACCATCAGGTGTTTGTCTCTCCTCATTTATTTCTCAGCATGACACCCTCCAGTTTTATCCATGTTTTCGCAAAAAGCAAAAATTCATCTTTTCTTATAGTGTGTAGTGATCTCTTGTGTACATATAGCGCAACTTCTCTAGTCACTTGTCTCTTGTCGAGCATATGGATTGTTTCCACAATTTGGCCATTGTAAATACCTTTACAATGAACAGAAGAGTGTGGAGGTCATAATCTAGTTTTCAGTGCATTTAAAGTAACGGTCATGGTCCTCCCGTTGTTCATCGAGCGGGCCCAGTAACGTCTCCATCGTGAGACTTGTTGTTACTGTGTTTGGCATATCGAACACGTCACGGGTAGCTTGCCAGGCTCTGCCAGGCGGGCAAGATACTCTCGGTAGCTTGCCGGTCTCCCCGAGAGGGGTGGAGGAATTGAACTTGGGTAGACCATATTGGCTGCGTGCAAGGCAAACGCCCTACCACTGTGCTATCGCTCCAGCTCCAGTACTTGGATGGGAGTACATTTAAAGAGTTTACATTAAAGATCAAAATTGTATTCATGTTTCACTGTCACTGTCACTATACTCCCATTGTTCATCGATGTGCTTGAGCCATTGTCACACTTAGTAACGTCTCCATTGTGACACTTGTTACTGTGGTTGGCATATCAAATACGTCACGGGGAGCTTGCCAGGCTTTGCCATGCAAGCGAGATACTCTCGGTAGCTTCTGGGCTCTCCGAGAGGGGCAGAGCAATCGAACTCGGGTCAGCCATGTTGGCTACATGCAAGGCAAACGCCCTACCCACTGTGCTATAGCTCCAGCCCATTCATGTTTTAAATACTAAATTTGATCCCTTTCTTTTCTTGTTGTTCAATTTGGCTATCTCTTGGAATACCCTAGAAAGCCCATTTGTTCAAGAAACACATGACAAAAAGTATCTTAGACCTACTCTTGCTCTCTATCATCCAAACTGCTCAGAGCCCAGCATCAAGAACCATCATTACATGTAATATGAAAGTAGCCAGTAGTCACCAAACTTTTCCTTTGCCAGCTTTTGAGCTGCTTCCAGTTTGGATAAACACAGAATGAATACATTCTCATCATAGTGTTTTGCAAGCCTCTAAGATATGTACTGGTGATGGGATATTGTGACTTTCATGGTGAGCATGGTAAGGTAACATATATTTGAAGAGGTATGAAGATATTATGTGAGAATCTATTCTTTGTTGTGGGACATGTACAGTCTTGCTACCCAATACTACTGCAATGAAAAAAATCCATGTTTCACAAATGAGGGTTATAATAAACTCTGTCTCTGATGTCATTGGCTGGGTCCTGGTTATGCCATTAGCTGCCAGCTGTGTCTTGTGACTCTGTCCCCTTTAATGACTGATCTTTGTTTTTTGTTTTGTTTTGTTTTGTTTTGTTTTAATTTGGGGACACATCCAGCAGTGCTTAGGGCTTACCTCTAGCTCTGTGCTTGGGGATCATTCCTAGTGGGACTGAGGGTTCCCTATAGAATGCCAGGGATTAAATCTGTGTCAGCCTCATGCAAAGCAATATTCTGCCCACACTTATATAGCTCTGTCCCCTATTGACTTGTCTTGATGTGAAGTGGGGAGTCCTAGAAGAGACTGGATGGCCAGGATAGTGTTGTGGAGATTCAGGGACTTAAAGGCATCACTATTTATTCACTGGCACAATAGTGTTTGAATACTTTAAAAGTAATGTATTGTGCTAGGGCATCTTGACCACCTCACCTCCTGGTCTCTAGTCTCTAACTTGCAGCATTCATATCTGTCAGCTGTCCTCCAAGGGTTGCTGTTTGTCATTCACTTGAACCAGAGTCAAACAAATGTTATTTGGGGCTAGACACCAGGAAAAATTGGGGGCTGGGCGGGTGGGAGGTACATGAAGGATGAACTACTACTGACTGCAATTCTCTTCCTAAAACACCTCCAGAAAATTCACTCCCACTCAAGCTCTGAGCAGTCAATCACCCTTCCATTTAGTCAATTTGGCTAGTGTCTTCACAGTATCATGTGGCTTCGCGGGTGATCAGAATAGCTCCCAGGGTGAAGACCAAGTGACGAGTCAAACTGAGACTCAAATCCTGAACACCCATTACCCTTAATGGCAATATCCTGTAAAAGTTCTGCCCTTCTGGGCAGTCCCCACTATTTCTGCTTAAAGGCTGGGATAATGTTCTCAGTTGCCTAAAGAATTATGGCACTCTCCCCAACTCTCAGATTTCCTACTGATTTTGGTGAAAAGCAACGTGGGATTGGAAGGAAAGCTTTCCCATCCGTCAAACTAACAAGTATTTAGAAGGTGCTTGTCGGGGCAGGCCCTGGGCTTGGGGATTAACCTGAAAATCCTGAGATTTTGCACAGCATTCTTATTAGGTATGTAGATATATTCTGATATCACAGGTGATAAAAATAGGACCCTCTTATAAATTTAGTTCTGTGGATGCTGTAGGGCTTGAAGTGTAATTTGCTCAAGGACACACAGCTGGTAAGCACAGAGGTAGAGTGTGAACCATCACTTTGCTCTGTCAGAGCCATGTGAGAAATGTGGCAGCATCAGCAGGAGAACTGTGTGGGGCCAAGTGCTCTGAGAAGTGGAAGGTAAATCAATGTCCCTCCCTCCCAACCTCATCCCCTAGAGTTACTTTTCTCAAAACTTTTCCACAAATGCATAATCACAGGGATCCTTGGAGTGTCATCACTTAATCACTTAATCACTTAACTTCCCGTTAGTCGTCGATTTGCTCGAGCGGGCGCCAGTAACGTCTCCATTTGTCCCTGTCGCGTGCTAGTGTAGCCCAATGGCATCTGTTCGCTCCGGGAACATGAAGGGCCTCAAACCGATCGTTCATGATCTTCAGGAAGAAGTCTGACCATCTGGTAGGTGGGCGGCCATGCGGTCTCTTGACATCCCGTGGAATCCAATCAGTAACAGCTCTAGTCCAACGGTCGTCTTTAAATCTCATTACGTGACCAGCCCATCTGATTTTCGACACCTTGGCAAATGAGACAGCGTCCCTGATCCTTGATCGTCGACGGATGTCAGAACTCCGGATTCTTTCTCTCAATTGAGTGATGTCAAGTACGACATCATTGGTCTGACCGAGACAAGAAGGCATGAATTTCACCATGCCGTTTTCGACACTGGAGAAGAATTGTTCCTCGGAACATGCGATAAAAGAGGTGTTGGAGGCATCGGTGTCCTTGTCAACACAAACTTGGCCAAGAGCATTGATTCATTCGAATGCCTAACAACCCGAATCGGACGTTTACATTTGAATAGATGTGGCTCACTGCCTGCAGTTTCTATCTTCGTTGTCTATGCACCAACATCTCATTATGATGAAAGAGAAATTGAGAAGTTCTACATGGAGCTAGAGAAGTTCTATAAAGAAGACCACACCTTCTACAAGATCATTGTGGGTGATTTTAATGCCAAGATAGGACCGAGAAGATCAGCTGAAGAACTTCACATCGGGACCCATGGCCTAGAATGGAACGAACAGGGTGAGAGACTGTCAGAGTTCATCATGTCGACCAAGACCATCCATGGTAACTGGAGTGTCATATCAATGACTATTGGTCATCATTAGTGAACTCTTTAGACCAGCAGTATAAGCTCAAAAGATGAGCCAGATGGTCCAGAAATGGTTGAAGGAGAACAGGGAACATCTATCCAGAAGCGTAGGTGAAAGAGAAAGAAAGTATGGTCTTGCATTGTAAGAGTCGTCCCTTCTGTTCTGAGGTGGTGGTGCTTCCCTTGCAGCTTCCTGCTGGACACAAGGACACATTACTTTGGGAGGTCAGTGTAGCACAGCAGGAAGAGATGCTGGACTTTAGACTGGATTTATGCCAGACACGAACTCCACCATCATTAGTTTCTGAGCTTTTCTGCATCTCAATTTCCTCATCTGTTAAAAAAGGTCATATCTCTATGTACTGTTATGAAGATCAAATAAGACAATGTTTAGAAAGTACTTAGCATGGCAGCTGGCACAGCTTAAATCCCTTAATAAAGGAAGTTATTAACATGAAATTGCCAGCTTGTGAATAATTTTATCACAAACTTTGGGAATAATTTCGTCATTGCAAATTTATGGACTTTATCCTTACTTTGGAAAAGGCATTGAAAAATCAAGACACAGGGGCTGGAGCAATAGCACAGCGGGTAGGACGTTTGCCTTGCACACGGCCGACCTGGGTTTGATTCCCAGCATCCCATATGGTCCCCTGAGCACTGCCAGGAGTAATTCCTAAGTGCAGAGCCAGGAGTAAACCCTGAGCATCGCTGGATATGACCCAAAAACCAAAAAAAAAAAAAAAGAGACACAGCTTGTAATATTGTCTCACTCTGCTTTTGTAGGAGACGTGGAAATTTGCACTGAAAAAGGCAAGATGGATTGTCAAGAAATCCCCTGTTCTGGTAAGCAACTGACAAGGAGAATGCCAGTGTTTTCTGTGTCATGGCCCCTCTCCCGAGTCCTGCTCTTCCACACCAGAAGCCACAGGTTCCCCAGATACAAACCTACCATGCATCATGGTCACATTGTGTGGAAAGAGGAAGCTGAGTTCCTTTGACCTTTTCTCTCCTTCCTTTTCTCTATGCCAAAATTACACAGCACCAAATCTACTGAACTTTGTGTCTGGATGGTCTTGCAATGTGGGTTGGGACTGTCCTGTGCATTACAGAGGCATTTAGCAATACCCCGCCTCTACCCACCAGATGTCAGCAACTGTCACCCCTCTACCTCATGGCAACAAAAATTCTCTTGACTATGACAACTTTTCAGACTCAAAGCCAAGAAATGCTACCGTCTAATGGGCCATATTTTGGAGTCAGCTGTGATTTTCTCTCTCTCTATCTTTTTTATAAAATGATATTAGGCTGAACCTCAATTTTTCCTTTTGCAAGAAAAGAACAATTGCTGTGACCCATTCTCAAAGCACAAAAATCTAAGAGTTGTGTGTGTAAAACCCCTTGTATCTTGTCTCAGATTTACCAAATACTCAAAATACTAGCTAAAACCATTATAATTATTTATTTCTCTAATTTTTCCTCTTTGTAATACTACTTTCATTCATAGAATACATCGTTTAGGGGGCCAGAGCATAGTAAAGCAGGTAGGGCATTTGATGTTTGCCTTAAACACGGCCAACCTAGGTTTGATTCCCAGCATTCCTTATGGTTCCCTGAGCACTACCAAGAATCATTCCTGAGTACAGAGTGAGGAGTAACCCCTGAGCTTTGCTGAGTGTGGCCCAAAAAACAAAAAACAAAACAGAATATGCTCTTCAAATAAATGCTATGTAGTCAAATACCTGACTGAAGCCCAGGTTGCAGAGCAGTCCCAACAGAAATAGCATCAGAAAAGTAGATCTTTAGAGAACATTATCGTCTCAGAATATAAGGTCCTAGCAGTAGGGAGGCATTCATCTGAGATGGATAGTGTGGCTCTCAGTCTTGGCTCCCCCCTACTAACCTAGCTCATTATTCACCCTGATGCAATGCATTTGAAGTAATATTGATTTGGTAGTAGGAAAACTAAAAGAAGGAAAACCTCTCCTGGCTGAGTTTTCCAGTTTTAGCAAACAAAAATCAAATATGATGAGTTAAGTTTGATTTTCAGATGAATAATGAATAATTTTAGTTCAAGTTTGTCCAGTGCAACATGTTTTTTGGCAACCCTATGTGTGAAGAGCATTTCGATTTTGATGTTCAAGGCCATCCATGTTGAATGGCAATATGCTGGCATTTCTGTATAATCAACTAATCAATCACAATGTTTGCATCACCAATCAGTTAATTCAGTGAATGATCAAACCCAGGCATAGCCAGTTCATTTAAGCTGCTTAAGTCATTGAACAAAAAATTAAAACGCCAAGTAAAAACACTTGACCCATCACCTTCAGAACTCAGCAAAATGCTGAAGTAAATTCTTTCATTCTTCTCAACATTCTTCTAAAAACTTATTCTCAGAGCATTGTTTACTTCTTTAACACAAACTGCTTGGCATTAACTCAAATACTAACTAGGATTTTATAATTTTTTATTTCTGTCATCAGAATTGCAACTATAGGGCAGAAATTTAAAAATATTTGTGATGAGAACAAAATTATCCTGAACAATTTAACAACATAAAGCACCTCCAAAACTTCTTCCATTTTATTTACTCTCCAGAATAAAGCTACCAAGGAAAAACATAATCAGAAAACGCAATTTGTGTCTCTGAAAAACTGCTAAAAGGGTAGCACTGTCCTCCTGTTGTTCATCGATTTGCTCAAGCGGGTCCAGTAATGTCTCCATTGTGAGACTTGTTGTTACTGTGTTTGGCATATCAAATACATCACGGGGAGCTTGCCAGACTTTACTGTGTGGGTGAGATACTCTCGGTAGTTTGCTGGGCTCTCCGAGAGAATTGAACCTGGGCCAACCAGTTAGGCCGCATGCAAGGCAACCGCCCTACCCGCCCTACCCGCTGTGCTATCGCTCCAGCCCCTACTAAGTGGTTATTGGCTGCAATTAACTCCTTATGATGACGAATAGAAGTACAGACTTAGAAGGGATGCAAAGAATCACACAGAAGGCTGCATATCATTTTAGGGGACTCTATCATTGAGAATCCAGGATTCTCTTTGTTCTCTGTATTTCCTGGGAAGAAGTAAAGAAATTCTAGAGGTGGGAAAAATGTTCCAGGGGGATCTGCATTTTAGCAAAGCCCTTTGTGGCTCCTGGGAAGGATAAGGACTAGGACTTTTGATTGATTTAGAAAAGCACTATGTATCTTATGGGTGAGAGTACCTGAATTATAGAATGTATTACACACACACACACACACACACACACACACACACACACACACACATACACACACACACACCCTAAAAAGTAGAGGGCATGTTTCTGTTATCAACTCTGTTTTATTGCTGAAGGAACGGAAGAATCAGATAGGTTAAATAATTTGCTAACTAGCTATAATTTGCTTACTAATTAACCAAAGTTACTAACTAGCTAACTTTGCTTAACTAGTTAGTAAGAAACCCATCATTTGAGGGCTTGCCTTGCATGCGGCCAACCAAGATTTGGACCTCAGCATCCCTCAGTTTCTTAAAATCCACCAGCAGTTGGGCTGAAGCGATAGTACAGCGGATAGGGCATTTGCCCTGCATGCAGCCAATCGTGGTCTGATTCCCAGCATCCCATATGGTCCCCCGAGCATCGCCAGGAGTAATTCCTGAGCAAAGGAGTAACAGAAATAACCCAGGTGTGACCCAAAAAGGAAAAAAAAAACACCAGCAGTGATCCCTGAGCATCTTCAGGTGTGACTTCAAAACAAACAAAAAAAGGTTTGGGAGTCAGTGAGCTGGGGGTGGGGGGGCGGTGAGAAAGAAAAAAAAGAGAAATCCATTACTTTAATCTAGATCTCGCTATTTCCAAGTTCCATTCCTTCTCCACTCCACCCCCCGCCCACACATGATGCAGTACAAATTTGAGGGCATACCTTCCCGAGGTGATGTGGATACTGGAATTGTGCACTGCACTATCTGATCACAAACTAACCTGATCAGAAGAATTGCCTGAGAAGTCTTTAAAAGTTGCTGATGTTCAAGCTCTGTACCAACCAATTAAACCCAAGTAAGAAAATATATAACTGGTCCAAAACTCATTTCACTGTGCAGAAATTCAGTTTTGAGGTGACTACATAAGGAAGTGTAGCTATGCTCCTCCTTTGCCTTTCCACCATTTGCCCAGTCATCCTTTATTCAACCTTTGCCTGTTGTTCAGTATTCTTTTCACATCCTGCTGTGTGGGAAAGCTCAAAGTGCAAGTAGAAGCTGGCTAACTAGATTGCAAAGTAAAGATGCCGCATGACTCCTGGGCCCAGGAACAGCCCAGATCTGAGACTTTTCATTTTAGATGGGATTACAAGCTGCCTGGTGCAACGTTTCACCCCTATTGTTGCCTTCCTAAGAGCCCACATCACACCACGGAGACTGCTCAAATGCTAAAGCACAGGAGGCACATCTGGGAGGTTTAGGTCTGCACAGCATGGACACTTGAGCACCATCAGATACCTGAATAACTCAGCACTGCCAGATGAGGCCCTCTATGTTCTTTAAAAATCTATTCTTTGCCTTTGTCTAGCAAAGTTTAAATTAAAAGGAGGGGCTGGCAAGGACTTCTCCTATGCTGTTTTGTGTTCCTCACCAGATCATCAAAAGCTCTGTGTAAACTGGAAGTGGTGTTGAGGGAAGAGGTTTCCTAGGCAAACTGCACCCTCTACTGCTCCATTCTACCACCAGTTCTCTATGATGAGGGTCAAAGACAGCTACAGCCTTTAGCTAATTTTGACAGCAAACAGTTCCACAAGTATAAACTGGTAATCTTATTCTACCTCTGTGCAGTAATTATAAGATTGTCCATATAAAATTATTTCTTGCTGCATTGTTATTATCAGTGTGAAATATCAGCATTGCTCTTAGGTTAATTATTCCAAGGCTTTCTGAATAAAGCTAATAAGAATGTTGTTCATATTCAGGTAGTATCAAAACTTTAATGTTCCTAAGGACTCTCAGGCTTCTGTCTGTAATCATCAATAGGACCGAATCCCTTCATTTTTCATTATTCCTGGTGCTTTGTGGAAACCAACAGTGCAGTCCTGAGTTCCCAATGTTCTGAGCAGAAATCTAGTGCTCCCTTTCACACTGTCATTCTGGTGCCTGCTAGGTTAATGTCTTGTGATGGTTTCTTTAAGGCTTGCAATAGCACTTGGGTGCCTGCGGGGTTCTGATCTCTATACACCTGCATTACAATAAGGGATCAGTGTGCCTTAGAGCTGCTACAGTACCGAGGACTAAGTGGGTTCTGCCCCAGGATTGATACTTGCCAGGATCTGTTTGTCACAGTTCAGCCTCTTGGGTAATAACTGGGGACTGTGGTCACATGGGCTGTTCAACATCTGATCTCCACAGCTATGGAGAAGTTGTGTGTTTGCCAGTACCAGTTTTAGGATGGCTGCTCTGAAGTCTGACAGGTATGGTCACCTCTAGGGTTTCTGCTACCTGCTGTATTTCAGGGATGGTGGGCGCCAGTTGTTTTTTGGGGAATGGCTGATTCCAGCTGTGGCCTGACACAACTTACCCTGATCTGTGATGGAAACTGTCAATCCTAGTCTCTTTCTCACATGTCAGGTGCTGGAACAGAACTGAACCTTTCCGAATATTTGCACTATCTATTCTCTGGCTTAGGTTGGCAGTCAAGAGTAGATACCAGTCTCTGGACTTACCCTTCTAAATATTGTCGTGCTCACTGTCAGCCTTTCCTCCCACTGTACATGGACTCCCCAATGGGTAGCAATTTTGTCATCCAAGTCACTCCTATAGGAACATTTTGTATGTCTGGAAACATTTTAACTGTTGATATTTGGTAGAATCACCAGATAGAATGTTAGCAGTCTTACAATACATAGGATAGCCCACACTAATCATTTATCCAAAATATCAATGGTAGTGAGGGATTAGTCCTTAGAGTCTCTGTTCACTGAAGATCCTATCCCATCTCACCAACTCCAGGTCACCTCTTATTCCCAGAGGTATCTCCAAAACATCACTATTTCAAGTATTTCCCACCAGCCTTAGGATAGCATGGGGAGGGCAGTTTCCTCAGCTCAGAACAGTGTCTCTTTCCTCTTCACTCTTTTCTTAAGGTTCTCCATGGCTTCAGTCAGGCCAAAATGTTTGCATTGCTCAACGTGACAGAACAGCCCACATTTCCACTGCCCAGCACAGTGTGGAGTCTTTCTGTGCCAGCATCTGTGTTTCTCTGCTTTTGGCATGCTCCCCAACCACCTGGGCCCTTGTTAAAATGCAGATTTTGATTCAGGAGGCCTGCCAGAGGATGTGAGATGCTACATTTGCAAAACCCTGGAGATTCCAATGTTTTGAATTAGTGATGACACTTGAACTGTACCTGCTAGGACCCACAGAGTAGTTCTCAAACTGTAAGAGGCATGCAGTTATCTTGGAGGCCAGAAAAATGCATGACAGGGCACTCTCTGGGTTTTGAAACTACTCTGTAGCAAATCTGGATATTGTACTTGGAGTTGTGAAACTTAGAATATGTGTCTTTTACTTCCTGCCTGCTGGTTATTTATTTGGGGACTTCTCCTGCTTCTTCTGGGTTCTAAGGGAGATAGATATTAATTCTTAGACCATGGCAACCCCCTATAGGGTGCTAAGAGCTGGATAACTGCACCTCTCCCCTATAAGTAGGGAGTGACACAAAGGCAAGAGCAGACTTCTGTCTCCCTGTGTCCAGATCATAATTATTCCTCTATACCTAGAAATTTGGGTAGACATCAAGAAGATCCCAAAAGATCTCACTTCTAACTTGACATGCTTGTCAGGATAAAACAATCCTCAAGAGAACTCGCAACTATGGAAGTAGACTTTGGACCACTGAGAATCCCCTGAGTTTCTGCTTTTATCAGTGTTGGCTCCTAATTTTTCCAGGCCTTGTGACTTCTTTGGCTTTCATGCAAGGAAAGCATCATAAAGATCACACTCTCTCTAAAAATCATGGTTTGGAGGACTTCGGGGTGGTGGGGGGGGGGGGGAACTTGGGACATTGGTGCTGAGAAATGTACACTGGTGGAGGGATGGGTGTTGGGTCACTGTATTACTGAAACCCAATCATGAACAGCTTTGTAATGGCCTATCTCATGTTAGTTCAATTAAAAAATTAAAAAAATTTTAAAAATGTTTTGTCTATTATTCACAACACATAGAGTCTTTGAGAACTTTGCTCCTGCAGTTAGAGGAAGTTCATATCTTGTTCTCATTCTAATCCCATAAAAAGTGGAAGAGGGGAGTTTCTTTCCACCTTCTTCCCAAATTCTGGTAGTGTGTCTCCCCTATTAGCTTTTTATCTCATAAAAGGATGGAATTAGTTTATCTATAGATGCTCTTCATTTTCAAATCATTGTATTTCAAAATATGTGAGTAAAAGAGGGAGAGTTATGTTATTATTCAAGTACAGTAGAGCAAGGTGAACCAGATCCTTTCTAGAATGGATGGAAAGAGGTGAAGGAGGGGATAGTTAACTGTGTGAAGAGGAAAGGTGAGCCTTCAGCCTAAGAAAAATGTGAAGGATGGTACGTGGGTGCTGTAAATATGGGATATGGGGACATATACACAAGGCAAACTTAGCCCAGAGAAGTGGCCAGTTTCTGAGATAAGTATAATCCAGCAATCTAGACTATGGAGCCAAGGGATTGAAGGTTATTAGATGAGGAAGAACCAGTCCCTGAACTAAACATTTATTTTTTTTCTCTCCAGAAACATTCTGGAAGTGACTTCAATATTTGTTCACTCCCAATTTTGGCTAACATCTGCCAGAAGATTGAATTGTACGTATTATTTTTCTGCCTTCTTGAGTCCTGACACAGAATAATTTGGTTACTCTTGTGTTCTGATGACTAAAATGGTCTTCATATTTAAAAGGAATCTTCCTGAGGGTGAATGTGTTTCTTGCCCCAAGCATCAATTAGAAGACAAGTTAGTTCTGAACAAACAATTTTTTAAAATATATTGCGTGTCAGTACTTTCGAATCCCAAGGTGCCTGTGATTGCTCTGTGAGACAGAGCCAGCTGGTGCTCCACAGCTCGTGCTCGCTGGGGCACCCTCCTGCCCATGTGAGATCAGAGTCACTTCCCCTGGCAGAACTTGGAGCATCTTTAGTGCCAGCACCTCAAAAGGCTGGAAAGGGCGTGTTCTTCCAAGAGTCTAACCTATTAGCCAAATATTCTGACTAAGGCATGTATGAAGAGGATTCCAAGTACAGAGAGACACTGTCACGTGTTCCCAAGCCTGCTCCATTTTGAATCTGAGGTTCTGCTGGGCGCTGTAGTCATTCATAATGTTAAGAGATTGGGGGAGTTTTGAGAGAGATGGTGTGCTAAGCAGAAATAGCACAGGCTCCACCTTCCACTTGGCTACTTCTCATGTAACTGCTGCTTCTACTGCCACCGGGAACCATGTAAATGCTGCTCATGTACCAGATTTCAACACACTTTAGCATTTATTTCTCACAACCATGAGTAGGATTATTCCCATTTCACAGAAAGGATACTGAGTCTTAAGGAAGAAACTTCTCCCAGTTGGAAGAGCTATACAGTCCAGGTATGCTGTGCCTTACATATTCACTGGAACTTTCACACTCTCAACTCCTTTGCAATGCTGCCTTCTGAGTCTGTCTTTGAGAATTTGGGCTCCTTAATGTCTCCAGGTCTCAGCATTTTATCTTACAGACCAAAGTTTAGCTCAGCATCAATAGTCAACTGTTTTAAATGCAGACTCATTTGGCTTGAACAGGGGGTGAATGAGGTGTATTGCAATAAAATGCCTCCAGGTGATTTTTCAGCACTGGACTCCATCCCCAAGCTCCTCATCATTTGTGTCCTCCTGAATGCTCAGGTACCAGACAGTGGATCTGTGATGCTTTCATGACTCAGAATAGTGCTCATTCATTGGAGCTGTAGTAGTGACATAGCAGGTAAGGCATTTGCCTTGCACACAACCAACCCGGCTTCAATCCTGGCATCCAATATATTTTCCTGAGCCCCACCAGGAGTGATCCCTGAGCACTACCAGATGTGGCCCTAAAACAATAGCACTGTAGCACTGTCCTCCCATTGTTCATCAATTTGCTCAAGTGGGCACCAGTAATGTCTCCATTGTGAGACTTGTTGTTACTGTTTTTGACATATTGAATATGCCACGGGGAGCTTGCCAGGCTTTTCCATGCAGGAGCCATACTCTGGGTAGCTTGTCCGGCTCTCCGAGAGGGGTGGAGGAATAGAACCTGGGTCGACCACGTGCAAGGCAAACACCCTACCTGCTGTGCTATCGCTCCAGCCCAAAACAACAATAACAAAATAATAAATGTTCCTTCACTGTGAGACATTTTCTTTTTACACCATCTGTTGCTTTTGTAATTGCTCTCTCCTGGGGCTTCCTTACCCATCCGAGCCTGACTGGCTTACAGTATGAAGGGTAAGAGGCGAGAATCTGGGAGATGAGCCTCGGGTTGTGCATCTGGTCTGAGATGCTGGATCATTTCCTGTGACTGCTGTCCTGGAATGTTTCGGTTGGGTGGTTTGTTCTCCCCCAGTCCTGGAGCCTAGCTGTCTGAAAGCCCAGAAGTGGCAGAGAGCCCTGAACCACTGCTGCGGGAGCATCTCTCTGGGTGGGATTGAGCTTCCTCGCCTCTCTCTAGCTCTCCTAGTGGTTGACCTCCTTGGCTTGCAGTTGCACTGCGGGTCTTTTTAGTCTCTGTTTCTAGGCTATCTTCCCTTGGAGTGCATCTTTTCCTTTTTTTTAACTTAAATTTTTAAAAATTGAATCACCATGAGATAAGAAGTTGCAAAGTTGCTCCTGTTTGGATTTCAGACATACAGTGTTCCAACACCTGTCTCTTCACCAGTTTACATTTCCCACCACCAATGTCCCCAGTTTCCCTCCCATCACCCACCACACGCTTGCCTCTATGACAGACCCTCCTCTCTACACCTCCCTCCCCCACACACATCTGTCTCTTTCCTTTTGGACATTATGGTTTGCAATACAGGTACTGAAAGGTTATCATGTTTGTCTCTTTACCACCTTTCAATACTCAGTTCTTGTTCAAAGTGATCATTTCCAGCTATCACTGTATAGTCGTTTCTTCTCTATCTCAACTACTCTTCCCCACCACGACTTGTGACAATCTTACAAACATGGACCAGTTCTCCTGGCCCTTATTTCCACTGTCTCCATCTTTTCCTTTAAAGAGGACACTGGTCCTACCACCAGGACTACTCCATAACTTAGAGGCCAGCCGGGTATCCTAGAGGAAAGGGCAGTTCAGATAGAGAAGGGAGCACCAAATAAAGGATGTTTGGAGGATCCTCCCAGGAGGGGAGATGCATGTCGAAAGTAGACTATGGACTGAACATGTTTACCACTCAATGTCTCTTTTGCAGACCACAACACCCAAAAGGAGAGAGAGAACACAGGGGATTGCCCTGCCACAGAGACAGGGGGGATGGGGGGATGGGGGTGGGAGGGATATTATCCATGGTGGTGGAAGATGGGCACTGGTGGAGGGATGGGTATCTGATCATTGTATGATTGAAACCAAAGCACAAAAAAACTGTAAATCTACAACTTTAAATAAAATAAAATAAAGGGAAAAAAAAAAGAGGACACTGGTCCTACTGGATGGGGTCCACTTTGAGAATTCATTTTAATTGATAAAATCTGCAATAACCCTGTCTCCAAAGAAGATGGCATTCACAGAGACCAGGTGTTAGAACTCCAAGACATCTCTTTGACAGACACAATGTAATTCAAACCAGTGGCACTTTTTCAACCTTCCTCTGTCCTTTATGTCCTGATCATGGAAGCTTCAGCCTCTGAGCAACATCTGTCTACAGCCAGAGAACCTGGGGAGAGAAGGAGGCTATGATCTGACCCACATTAGAAATTCTTTCTTTAAAAAAAGATTCATAGGGTTTCAAGAATTTAAAAGCTTTTCCTCATTCAGCTGTCCACATGAGTTCCTGGCAGCCAGCTGTGCAAAGCGCTGGCCTCAGTCCCAAAGACAGATTTGAGCCCGTCTTTCTGTGAATACAGCAGGCAGAGTGGGCATCGGGACACAGGAGGAGTGGGAAATAGACATGAGAGAAGATGCTGGGAGGCAGAGAAGCAGCCAGCTCCGCAGGCTCCCCATCAGGCTAAATCGAGATGCCCTCTCCGCTCCATGCTGAAAGCATTATTGCATTTTCTGTGTCAACTCTGAGCCTGCAGGGTCCAACTATGCCAATGTGACAACTCTTCAACAAAACCACCTTTGAAAATTGAATTCAAGAGCATCTGTGACCAGGGATTTGCTTGGCCAATTTAAAAGGGAAAGTCTTCTTTCATGAAAAATCAAAAGCAGTGTGTTTTCCTTCTTTCTGAAATTAATACCAGGTTACAATTTAGGGTTTTAGGGTTTTCCAATAAGTTTTTGTTTTGTATTCTTATTGTGGTTGCAGTAACTGGGTTACAACAGTGTTAATATTTATGTTTTGATTTACAAGGATGCTCCACCACCACCAAAGTGCTCAAGATACCCACAATACACACTGTCTTTGTGCCACATCTAATCTGCCTCTTCTTTCCTACCTACCATCCCACGTTCCATCCACGTGGGTACCCCAGTTCTAAAGCCAAAGTCCAAGTGTTTATCATCATCCAATACTATCTATTCCCTTGCTTTATAAAGCACATTTAAAAATAAACTTTACTAAAGTATCCTTAGTTTGGAACATTAAATAAGCTTCAGATGTTCAGCTATATTTCAACATCAATACTCAACATCATAACCTCCACCAAAAGTCTAGCTTCTGCCCACTACCATGCAACTAACAGCCATTCCTGATTCACATCACCCTCCACTTAATTGCATTCTGGGAAGCACCAATATGGTCTATGACAATGTACATGGAAAGGACTTGAAAGAAAGTATAGGGTTTGGTACAGCCCGCCCCCAAGGGCCTTGGTTCCTCTCTGGGCACGCGCAGCTAGAAACAGCCCCGAGACAGCCGGTTTTCAACCCCTGATCCGCGTGGGACGGGCACAGAGGCCCAGCTCTGGGCAACAAAGCTGAACGGCTCCAATTCCAACAGGTACAGCCCGCCCCCAAGGGCCTTGGTTCCTCTCTGGGCACGCGCAGCTAGAAACAGCCCCGAGACAGCCTGTTTTCAACCCCTGATCCGCGTGGGACGGGCACAGAGGCCCAGCTCTGGGCAACAAAGCTGAACGGCTCCAATTCCAAACAGGAGACATTCCCAACTCCTCGCCCAGTGCCAGGGACTCTTTCCGGAGCCGCGGCCGCTGACGCGGCCGCGAAATATTTTCCCACTACATATGCCATAGGAACCATAAGCTAACTTCTTAGATGGAAACTTCTCTATTTTAGCTCAGCCACTAGAAATACAGTTGCCAATAACTCATAAGCCTATCTTAACTCACACTGCATATCAAGCAGAATAGTAACACTGAACGTGAAGGACTAAACCACACCTCTCACAATGGTAAAGCAACGCAAAAGCCCACCAAACTTTCATATTGAAGAGTCTAGCCCAGATGACACCAACAGTACTGTAGTGTTAGACAACCTCTCTGACAAGGAATTCAGAAGGGAGCTACTTAGGATGCTTAGGGAATTAAAAGAAACAATGGAAACCAATGCCAATAGAAGACAAGAGGATCTGAAGGCAGAAATGAGGAAAATGCAATCAGAAATGTCAGACCTGAAAAATCTCATAGGCGAATTGAAAAGCTCAGTGGAAGGCCTCAGCAGCAGAGTAACAGCGGCTGAGA